TCAATTTTAAGCCTGAAATTAGCTGTCGTGCGTTCCAGGATCACCGAAAATAATTTTGCTTTTCCAAACGAGCCACAAGAGGAGAAGATATCGAGAGCTACTCAGCCAATGGGGCAATATTTTTGAAATCTTGAAATTTTGTTTAGAAAAACCCCCGAAAACCCGTGCTGACCTCCAGCTAGCCGATTGCAAAAATCCGAAAAGTGAGTGCACGCTAATTGAGCGGGTTTTCGACTCGAATCGCTCGAGAAATACGGGACTGGTGGATTTTAACCCCACTAGTGGCTAGCTTTGAGAGAAATAAATGAACAATGGTCAACGCTGGAGCGCATCGAGTAGTCTGGACTAGTTTTTTTGGCGAGCTGTAACGATTTTCTATACCCAGCTATCGGCTTTTCGACTGACGCCGTTTTCTCGCAAAATATTATGATGAAGATAAAATTTTTGAATTAAAACGCTCAAGCTGGAGTGCATAGAGCAGAATGGAGTTGTTTTCGAAAAGAAAAATCGAATTTTGAGAAATTGAAAAAGTTGATGAACAGGTTCATCGACTTTTTTTGCACAAATCTGACTTTTTCGGAAAAATAAATATACAAAATGGCTATCCTGGCACGCACAGAAAGTATTGCGCACAAAATTTACAGCGCTGGTCATCGTTTTTTTCGAGTGACCTGGACGAGCCTTGCCCAGGGATAAATGCAAATTGAGCAAATAGCAAATATTTGAGAAACAAGGATTTTTCGAGAATTTTTTCAACCAAAACCCCCCGTGCATTCCAGGATTGCGATTTTGTTAGAAAAAAAGAGTCTAAAAACGGCTTAATGGCTGATTCTTTAAGCTAAACGACTTCCCTCAAATATCTCTGTGCTAAATCGATTTCTTGAATTTTTACGCCGCAAAATCGAGATCCTGGAACGCACAGAAGCTTTTAATCAAGAAAGATATTGAAAAAATAAAAAGAAGAGCAATGGAGCAGTACCTCGAGAATTATGGGCAAGTTAAACAAGAGAAATGAGCTTTTTCGCTTTTCCGTTTCCGTTTTTCTTTATTTTGGATGTCACACAAGCGACTGAACAAGTGCTGAATGCGCATTACGAGCTCAAAAAAAATATTTATGTCTTGAAAGAGTTTGAGAGAAAATGGCGACAATGGAGATGTTTGTCGAGGGGTTTTTTGAATAAAATCGAGACTATGGAGGGCACAGGGAAGTTAGGAAAGCTAAAATTGTAGGCAGAGCATATAAATTGTAGACACTGCTGAGCTAAGCCGGCCGATTTTCAGATCAACCCCATGGCCTCGAAACACGGCAACTTTCGTAAAAACAAGCGAATGCCCTTGAGACAATCGAGTGCACTGGAGCGCTATTTGCATTGAAAAGAGAGATTTATGCAAATTTTAGGCAAGTAGCGTAACGTACTTTAGGCGTAGGCTCTAAAATATCTTAGCCGGCAAGGACCCCAGGGTTAAAATAACACTGTAAACCTAAATCCTGGAAGGCACAGCAGTCTTTGCTAACCTAAAAATTATAGATAAGTAGATATATGCAAATTTTTATCTACGTAACTTTTACGGACCCGGATTTCTTAGCCCGCCAGGGTCCCAGGGTTAAAATAATACTGTAAAACTGAATCCTGGAAGTCACAAGAGCTTTTGGTAACATAAAATTAGGGAATATATGCAAATTTGGGACCTTGGATTACTGTAGACGGACCAGGATACGGTAATGCTAAAAATTCAAAAATCGAGAAAAGTAGCGATGCCAAATGACGCTGTGCGCTCCAGAATGCACAATTTTCTCAGGCGATTTCCCGAGAAACCCGATTTTCCGGGGTAAAATCCGGGGACAAGACACCACGCGACATCAAATAAAGCGGATCAGCTGTGCGGTGACACCGAGTCTTTCTACAGGTCCCGCGATTATTTGATTATTTGATTACACAGATAGAACTGATAGAAACGAGGGTTAACCTCTGGATAAGTTCCGGGATAGCCGTTTTTAAGCACAAAAAATAGAAAAACTCGGAGTTTACCTAAATTTTTGCAAATTTTACTGTAAAAAGTTTGAATTTAATTTGAAATTTGACCGATCTGGAAGTCAGTACAGCTGTTTGGAAATTTGGAAATCGTGAAACTTCAAAAAAATCGAAAAATCGAGATCTCGATAATTGCTTGAAAATTTGACAAATTTCGAAAAAGTTTTTTAACGAAATCCTCCATTCTGGATGTCACGAAAGAGTTTGGAAAAAAAAATTTAATGAAATTATCAAAATGAAAAATGTGAAAAATTTGGAGTGTCGAAGAGTGAGAGAGGAATTCGATTTGCCTTCCCTCCCCTTCCCCCTGCCCTTCCCGTGCCCCAGACTCCCTCTAAATGCCCCAGGATGGCTTTTCCTGCTTTTCCTGCTTTTCCTGCCCTTTTCACCCCTTTCTAGATCTCTGTTTTTGATGGGTAATTGAATCGACATTGAAATTAAAAGTGAAAATTGAAATTTCTAACTTTCCACCCAACTAACGACTCCAAAAAGCAGCGTGACATCCAGATCGAATCTTGAACAATTCAAATTTATGTCTAGTCACCTAGAAACGAACCAAACCTGGTGCACTAGAATCGGGAATTTTTGGGGGTCTTAAAAATTGAGATTTGACTTTCTTTTTTTGAGATTTCTACGCAGTGCACTCCAGCTTCGAGTCTGGCATTGAAATTTTTTTTGAAATCCATTCGATTTTTTCGCAAATTCACTCAAACTCCTCTTCTACCAAAAAGCGCGAAAAACAAACAGAAAAACAAACAAACAAAAGCTTTTAGCAATCAAAGTTTCAAAAAAGAAAGAGTTTTTTGGCGATTGAGCACAGAGAAATTAAAGAAACTTTGCACCTTGAAAGCTGAAGTCTCAAAAATTTCGCGATTTTCTTTGAAAAAGCAATCATTTTCCAATCTAGATATCCAATCTGGAAGTCATGTAATTCAAAAAATATTTCAGAACCTGAAAAACTAACAAATTTCCGGTGGCGCAGTGGTTAGTGGGCTTGGCTACAAGACGAGTGGGTCCCAAAGGGCGGGCGAGTTCGATCCCGGCCAGCGCCAAAAATTTTTTTATCTTTGTTTTTAAGCGATAAAAATGGAAAATATTAAAAGAACACTAAAGATATCAAACTTTTGAACGCCAGAAAACTTTTTAATATTAAAAAATGAGTTCTCTTCTCTTGTCTCATCAAAAAAGTGACTTGAATGAATGAAAAATGAGAAGAATGACCACTTGAGATTCACCAATTCACATAAAAGAGAGTCCTTATGGAAAGGGGAAACTGTTATTTGTTATCTAAGGGGAAAAAGGGAAATGAACTCTATAATAGACACTTTTCTTCGGGAAAAACACGGAAAAGTCAAGCATTTTCTCTTACAAGAACGGCTCAGAACATTCCATTTTATAATATTTCTTTAGCCAAATTGTTTCCAATCAAATTTGACTTAAAAAACAAAAAAAATGCAAATGATTTGACGCCACCCGGGATCGAACTCGTCCGCCCTTTGACCCCCACTCGCCTCGTAACCAAGCCCACTAACCACTGCGCCACCGGAAATTTGTTAGTTTTTCAGGTTCTGAAATATTTTTTGAGTTACGTGACTTCCAGCTTGAATAGCTGGCTCAGAAAAAAGTTGAGCTGGGAAAGAAAATCGGAGAATTTTCGAGAGATAACGATTTTAGGCGAAATTTTAGAAATCTTGCAAGAAAAGGCGCCCAAGTAAGTAGTTTTCTCGGAAATCTGGAACTCACTAGACATTTTGAGGCCAATGACCCTGGTTAAAAGCTTCAAATTCGCTATCTTCCCTTCGAAAAAATCAGCTGTCGTTGCCCGGAAATTTTTCGAAAAAACGAAAAGCCGAAATTTTCCCCAGGATTGGGATTCCCTTTTTGCTCTCTTGTTTTTCGTTTTCTCGCCTTTTTCCCGGCTTTTCCAGCTTTTCCAACTTTTCCCTCACTTTTCAGAGATTTCCTCTTGTCATAAGCCATATGGCTTTAGAGATTTTTCATCGAAATCTCGAAATTCTCGAAATTCTTGACTCCCATTTGAAAATGTGCCTCCCAGAATGGCGAAATATTCGTTTCGTTTCGAATTTTATCAAATAGAAAAAAAGGTTTTTCGGTCAATCTTGAAAATCCCGGACTGGCGCGTTTTAAGCTGAAATTCTCATGTAAATTTGGGTTTTTTGGTGTAATTTCGGACATTCTGGAAGTCACTAAAGGGATTGCGGAAGAGAAAACGCGACAATTCTGAGTTAGGAGAAATTTTTGGGTTTTCGGTGTCAGTGTTGGGATTTAGTGGCAGTGTTGATTTGCAAAAAAGGAAAAATAAAATCGTTTTTCTGCATCCAATCATCCTAGTGCATGCCAGGATGGGCAAAAATCGCAGAAAATATTTCAACTACCATGAGAGTTCGGCTCAAAAAGGCCCAGTCCTGCCAACGGTGTCAATTTAACAGTTTTAGATGCAAATTTCTGGCTAGGAAGAGATGATAGAGTTTGTAGAGGTTGTAGAGGTTGTAGAGGGTCGTTTTTAATGAAGAGTTATTGATTTCTGAAGCATTTTTGGCTTATCCAAGAAAATCAATCATTTCTGACATTGACAAAATCGAGAAAATCGACTCGACACTTGTTCGGTCAAAAAATCCCTCAAAAACTTTACACAAAAGCAAAAGCGATCACCGAAATCGACAATCTGGAGCGCACACAAAAAAATAAAAAACTTAAAAGCGCAATTTTCATTTGAAAATCTCCGAACAATTTTCACGTGAACAGGTTCTTTCAAAAAATTTGCATATTTTATTGGAAAGTTATTCTTTTTAAAAACGAATTTACCTAAGCTGGATATCACACTTTAAAATAATACAATGAAAAACGCGATATTCAGTTGAAAAATTTTTTCACCGACCGAGTTTTCAGTTTAAGACGATTTCTCTTTTATTTCATTGACATTCAATTATTTTCAAAAGCTATTTAGCTAAGCTGGAGGTCATGTAAATAAAATTTGTCATAAAATTCGAACTCACATGTATTTCGGGCATCTCGCAGCGTTGCTCGTCCAACCGTTGACTCTGCATCTTTTCCAGCAAAGAGAGGAAGTCGTTCGTCTAGAAAAAGCGGTTACTGTATGGCTGTAGTACTGTAGGGAGTACTATAGGGCTGTAGACGGCTACGGTAGACGTTAAAATACGAACTACGGTATTGTTGGCTTTATAAGACTTCAAGGGTTACTGTAGCTAACTGTAGCTAACTGTAACCGGGTTACTGTAGCCGTTAGGCTTTCATTTCAAAACCAGAGTCTACCGTGACACCCAGATCCCTCAAATCTGTGTTCACCGACCTTCTCGTGGCGTCCATCTCGCCCCAATCCCGCCAGTCCTCTCATCCGCTCGGCTTCACTCAGAATGTCGCTTGCCGCTGAGTTTCGTCTGAAAGATAAAGTTTTATTTGTTCAATCTGGAAGTCATTCTATCTAAAAAATCGATTATTTTAGATAAAAGTTGAAAATTTTTCGTTTTCTCGATTTCATTGGTGACTAACGACCGAATGATCGCTCGAAAAGCCGGAAAAACGGAAAGAAACGGAAAAATGGCCAAGCTGGATGTCACTAGGGATGTCGAGTGAGGTAAAACGGGATATTGGGTGGGGTTTGAGGCGGGGATATTTGTGGGAAGGGGTTGTAAATTCTCGAGAGGCACCTGAGACTCAAAAACTTCAAACCCTCAATTAAAACCCTCGCTTAAAACGCGGCCAAAGTGTCAGGTGTGCGTCGGGATGAGTGAAAATCGACTGAAATCGAATTTTATTGCCACCAATTGCCGCTCAGGCCTAATTGCGAAATTTATTGGAGTTGAGGTGTTGCCGAAATTGAAAAAATAGTTTTCTAAAAAAAATAGCTTGCTAAAAAGCCGCTGTGAGCTCCAGATCGAAAAATCTCTTTTGGGAAAACTCTGAAAAGTTAAATGGAGACGAAAAATGATCGCAGTCCTATTTCGAAAAACTCATTGAACTGTTTTCAAGTGCTCAATTTGCAAAAATCGACTTTTAAATAAATTTTCAGCCGTTCTGGAGCGCACTCAATAAAATTAAATGCAAATTTTAAGGGATTTTCCAAATTTAAAAATTTCGAGTCGAGTGTCAGAGTTGAACCAGTTTTAAGCTTCAATTTTGATCAAAATCGAAAATTTTTGAAATCTTTGGTTGATCTGGAGCGCAATTGGGGTTTTCTAGGGAAAATTTCATGCAGTTGACAATATTTTGTTGGGTGTGAACGGTGATTAATCAACTACTCCGTAAATCCTTTTCCCTTGCAAAGAGCCCCGGGATTATGTCCTTCAATTCGAGCACTCAATCATCTGTCAGTGTAATAAGCTGGGGAAATCATAAAATCCCCTGAAACATAGCAAGCGTCAATAGGAAAGTGGTGTACTGTTTTGATGAAATTTTTCAAAAAAAGATTTGCTCAAAAAAAGATTGGAGGTTTTTTCGAGAGATCCCAAAGAGTTATTTGACTTAAAAGTTTTCCAATCGAAATCCTGGAAGTCACAATCGATGTCAGCGCAAGAAAATCGAGCCTAGAACAATAAAGAAAGATTTTATTCGGTCGATCTCAGCATCTGCGAGAGGCTGTTATGCGGCTAAACACTTTGCTCGTTTCTTTTTGGATTCTTGAGTTCTTGGATTCTTTTTCGATTCCCCCGCGAAATACTTATCGAAATTATGACTTTCGCTGAGATTTCCCCTTGTCGACAGATGTCAGAAAGCGAAATTTCACAAACTCTCCGACTGTGTGAAAGAGTTGAACGCGTTTCAAGGCTTTATTTTCATCGAAATCAAAAATTTTTCCGATTTTCGGGCAATCTGGAGTGCATTCGATAAAATTAAACTCAAATTTTATGGTTAATCGTAATTTATAAATTGGTGAAAACCGACTGTCAGAGTTGGTCAAGTTTTAGAGCTCAATTTTCATCAAAATCAAAAATTTTACCGCTTTTCGGCCAATCTGGAGCGCACTCAATAAAAATAAATTCAAATTTCATGAGTATTTGCAAATTTACAATTGTTGAAAACCGGCTGTCAGAGTTGGTCAACTCTCAGAGCTCAATTTAGATCAAAATCAAAAATTTTGCCAACTTTCGGCCAATCTGGAGCGCACATGAGGTGTTCTGATAGAAATTTCGTGGTGTTGACAATCATTTTGAACAATCATATATATTGACCAAATTAGCGTTTAAAGGCACAAAATTAGCATTTAAAAATTGTAAAGAGAAATTACCATAGGAAATTTTTAGATTTTATTCCATTTTAGCTAACTGAATACCTTTTGTGCGTTCCATAATTTCATGCGGATTTCGAAAATATGCGGATTCACCATAGAAAAGCGGATTAAAAGCCGGGGTAACGAGTTTGATGGAAAATAATCGGCTAACGAGTAAATAAAAGAATTTCTCGGCTAAATATGAAAATCCTGGATGTCACGCTAGGTGAACAAAATCAAAAAAAATCAAAAACTCAAAAATAAACTCAAAAATTTTCTTGACCGGCCTCGAACCAGGACCCTTAGATTTGTAACCAAACTCGTTAGCCACTTAGCCGTAATGGACGCTTATAAAGCTTAATAAAGCTTAAGAATGAATATTCAATGAAAGAATTGAAAGAGTTGAAAGATTTAAGGCATTATTGAGCTCCTTGTTCGACGTTGCCCAAATTCGATAGAATGGTAATCATGGGGTAATCAAATTGCGTCCAAGAAAGAAGCTAAAGAGCGGAAAAGCCCGAATGCCATCCAGGATTGCCCCCTTAGCCCTTTTCGACCGCGTTTTCCCAGTCAACAACACCACAAATTGCCCAGTCCCCAACCGGGTGGTGTTGAGGGTGAAAAAATTTGCGCTCTTTGTTTTTTTTCTGGGAAACTCTTGGAGAACCGTGTGTCGTGCGTTCCAGAATGAGCGGAAAAATGGCGTTTGAATATTTGGGTCAACCGGGGAATTGGAGAAATTACCCTCAACCATAAAAAGAAAAAGATTGGACGTTTTTAAGAGTCAGAACAGTACAAATCAAGTACTTTTTTTGTAAATTCCCCCATCCTGGAAGTCATTCAAAATATTTTGAGTCTTAATTTCAAATTTTCATCGAATCTGATCAAGTCGAAACGAGCTAGCAAGATTGGACGTTTTTCAGAGTCAGGAAAGTAAAAATCAAGAAATTCATTGAAAAATTGACCATCCTGGAACGCACGGGAAACGCTTTGCCTCTGTGTTTCCCATGTCGAGCCATTTGGAGGAGTCTCGAGTGAATGGGGAGCACGCTGGCCTTGACGCTCCCCACCTCTGTTCTCCCTTGAAAAGACTCTACAGACCTATGCTAATTGTGTTCAAAAGGTGGCAATAGAAGAGGAAATCTTTTGACGAAGACTCTAAATTTTCTTTGGTTTTATGGCGGTCAGGGTTTTCGAGCCGCGATGGACCGAAAGGACGCGAAAGGAGTTTGAGCGAAAATAAAAGTCTTTTTTTAGGCTTTAATTAAAAATCTTAAACTAAACTTTCATATTGGAACGCACAGCAGCTGATGAGCAAAAAATTTTTCTGAATTGACAAATTTGAATGAAATTGGTCAGAGTCGGGATCAGGACTGGTCGAAAATTTTAAAATTCGTAAAGTTTTCAGAGATTTTGTTAAATTAATCTTTCATCCTGGAACTCACTAGAGCGATTCCGCTTTAAAAAAATCCATTTTTGATTGAATTATGAAAATTGTGGTTTCTAGGAATTCCGAGTCGAGTAAAATGAAAAAACACAAAATAATGAATTATTCAGAGTCTCTCGGTTTTCAATTTCTCAGCTGAATATTCTATTATTATGAGAAAATAAACACAAATCAGCGAATATTCAGTTAAAAAGCCATTCAGTGAAAACGAAATGTGGCCATTCGAGCCGACAGCCCGACGAAATTCTAACCCTCCCTCAAAATGCGGTCAAGCATCATCCGAATTCAAAATTCTCAAAAAGACTCTCTATCCTGGAGCGCACACTAGCAATTGAAGCGCTAAAAAGTCGAAATTGACGTAATTTGAAAATTTCCATAATTAAATGCAAATTTTGAAATTAGCATTTAAAATTTGGGATAATTAAATGTAAATTTTTGAAATTTGCATTTAAAATTTGAAAATTAATTAAATGTAAATTTTTAAATTTGCATTTAAAATTTTTTGCTACCTATCGTGATAGAATTTGAAAATTTTAGCCTAGTGACATCCAGATCGCATGAAAAGCTGAAAAATTTCGCGAAATCTCGAAGATTTTTGGCTTTTTCCGGCCTCATCTCGAAAACAGACCATTTTGGCTTCTCATTTTGGCTTTTTTTTCCCTTCCCCGGATAACAAGTAGCCTATTTTCGGGGCCACAAACACGTCAAATGAGCTATTTTTAGATAAAATCGAGAAAAGGATAAAAATATAGCTAGAGGATTCGAACCAGGGTCATCAGATTGAGAAACGAGAGTTTTAACCGATACACTAAAAGGCAAAATCTTTGCATGACTAATTTTAGACTTCTAAAAGCTTTTCCTTGCCGTGTGCCTTCCAGGAAAGCCTAGCGTGACGAGAAACGCAGCTGGAAGCGCCATTTTTCGGCACGAATCAGTGAGAACTCGGAATTTTCGAGGTCACTCGATTATATTGTCGAAATTGGAAAGAAAGTTGAGAAATTCGAGTTGATGTCGGCTTTCTGGAAGTCACACTAGCTTTTGAGTAGAAAAAATTTGGCAAAAGTGATATTGCAGAAAAAAAAAGGAAATTTTATGGAGTCAAGAATTGCATATGTTGAAAAATTCAAATTGAAAATTTCAATTAAAAATTTCAAAAGTAAGATAAAATATGGATAGAATGCGTTCCAGAATGAACAAAAAAAATGTTTTTACTTTTTGAAATCTTGCCAAAGAATCTAGAAATTCGAGGAAACACGCCAAAAACACAGCCATCTAAAATCGCATTTGAATTGACCGGAAACGCGCGGAAAAGTTGTCCTGTGCTCCAGGATTGAGGAATTTGAAAAGATTAGCACTTAGAAATCAAACGCTTAGGGAGAAAAGCTCGCAAACGCATTTGAGATTTTGAGAATGGTGAAAAATCTCCGTAATGACACAATGCTCTGCATATTCTGACCACTTCCACGTTCTTGCTGGAGCGCACGGGGATTTTTGTGATGGGGAAATCCCCCCTCATTCTTAGCCTCTTTCAATCGTGCCTAGTTCATCCGAATTTTCCAAGTGAGTGCGCTTTCTTTTCGTTTCTTTCTTTCGTTTCTTTCTTTCTTTCTTTCTTTTTCCCAACTCCACTAAGCACCCTTTTTCACCGTCGTTTAGATATAAAAGAGCTCTATAAGACCTTTTGCTCATCTATAAGACTATGAGATATGAAATGGACGGACGTA